GCAGGAGGCCCCGCCACTCAGGAACCCGGCTGTCTCCACGGCCCGGCCACCGTGGACCACGGCCACTTGGGTCTGAGCTGCCCAGGGTCTGGGGTCTGAGGTCCAGGCCAACAGCCCCCACTCACTTCTCTCCAGAATCAGACCCAGGCCGCAGGGTCTCCCACGCTCAGGGCTTCCTCGGGTGACCAGTGGAAGCCTGGATGCAGCCAGGCCTGGGGTGAGCCGAGGGGAGCCCCTCGGCTGCCGGTGTCCTTACAGGGGGGACACGGGGACAGGCTGCTGGGAGCCCCCAAGGGGCCTTTTCAAACCAGGACTTTGTGCTGCACCTTTAGGGCTAGAGCCTGAGCTCACTTGCACCCCAATCCATAGGGGGCTTCCTCTCCTGCCTCAGTGGCCGATCTGAACCCCACGTCCTAAGCCAGGCTGCTGCTGGCCCCCGACACAGCCTGGGAGGCCTGCTGACCACAGAGCTGCCCCTGGAGGTGGGCAGGCAGGGAGCAGGTGCGACTGATCCGAGGCCTGAGCTGTCCACCCGCTCCTACGGCTCTGTCCCCGCTGGGGTCCCCAGGAGCCTGTAAGCCCCCCAAGTCCCAGCCAGCAGCCCGAGAGCATGCTGCTCTCCGCCCTCCATTCACGCAGACCCTGAGCCGGCCGCTCCCCTGGCTCCAGCCGAGCGTGACCACCGTCTGCCATGAGAGCCCAGCAGGGGCGCCAGGGGCTGCACCTGGCAGAGCGGTCAGGCTGCGTGAGCGGGTGTGCATGTATGTGCATGTGTGTGCCAGCGAGGCCCTGGTTGTGCACACGTGTATGTACGTTTGCTTGCATGTGCATGTGTACCTGTGTGTACACATATGTATGCCTGTATGCACATGAGCATATATGCTTGTGTGTGCAAGCGTGTGCCTTTGTGGGGGGGTCTGTGTGCACACGTGTCTGCATGTGGGTGTGTGTGCGCATGCGTGTCTGTGTGTGGGTATGTGTGTGCACGCGTGTCTGCGTGTGTGTGTGTGTGTGCACGCGTGTCTGTGTGTGGGTATGTGTGTGTGCATGCGTGTCTGCGTGTGGGTATGTGTGTGTGGGTGTGTGTCTGCGTGTGGGTGGGTGTGTGCACGCGTGTCTGCGTGTGGGTATGTGTGTGTGCACGTGTGTCTGCGCGTGGGTGGGTGTGTGCACGCGTGTCTGCGTGTGGGTATGTGTGTGTGCACGTGTGTCTGCGCGTGGGTGGGTGTGTGCACGCGTGTCTGCGTGTGGGTATGTGTGTGTGCACGTGTGTCTGCGCGTGGGTGGGTGTGTGCACGCGTGTCTGCGTGTGGGTATGTGTGTGTGCACGTGTGTCTGCGCGTGGGTGGGTGTGTGCACGCGTGTCTGCGTGTGGGTATGTGTGTGTGCACGTGTGTCTGCGCGTGGGTGGGTGTGTGCACGCGTGTCTGCGTGTGGGTATGTGTGTGTGCACGTGTGTCTGCGCGTGGGTGGGTGTGTGCACGCGTGTCTGCGTGTGGGTATGTGTGTGTGCACGTGTGTCTGCGCGTGGGTGGGTGTGTGCACGCGTGTCTGCGTGTGGGTATGTGTGTGTGCACGTGTGTCTGCGCGTGGGTGGGTGTGTGCACGCGTGTCTGCGTGTGGGTATGTGTGTGTGCACGTGTGTCTGCGCGTGGGTGGGTGTGTGCACGCGTGTCTGCGTGTGTGTTGAGGCCCTCCCGGCTGCAGTGAGAACGAGGCCCCAGTCAGACAGCACAGGCCCCTGCTCCTGAGGTGCGTTTTCCCAGCTTCTCACCAGGCAGTTGGGGACCAGGAGGCTGCCCATCAGGGGCAGGTGGCCCCGGAATCCCAGCAGGAAAAGGGCACCCATCAGGTGGGAAAGGGGGTGCAGCCTCCTGTGGGTGGTCTCCTCACTGACCAGCCCCAGCCCGAGTGCCCAGCTCCGCTGGCCAAGCTGT